CCTATCAATGACCTGATTGGTTCTTCAGCCTTCTTCTCACAGCTCATTAAGGAAATACTGACAAACAGCCAGATGATTTTATTCTCCACTTGTGTCACACAGGCTTTTTTCATCCATCTTTATGCGGCGTGTTCCGTCTTCATCTTGTCTGCTATGGCGTATGATCGATACGTGGCCATATGCAAACCTTTGCATTACAGCACTGTCATGACTAAAGCTCACATCCTGAAAATAATCACAGCAGTGTGGTCATCCTGTCTGGTTTCAATAGGGGTGCTCTTTATTCTTCTGTTGCGTCTGCGCTTCTGTCGATCTGAAATAACTCACCCGTATTGTGAAAATCCAACTTTGTTGACACTGGTTTGTGAAGACACCACCATAAATAACATTTATGGTCTTTTTATAAGCGCTCTTTCACAAGTGGTAGCTAATGCAACGGTTTTTTATACATACCTCCAGATCCTCCTTGCGTGTTTCAGAACCAAGCGGTCCGACACCAAAGCAAAAGCTCTGCAGACGTGTGGTACGCATCTGTTTGTGTTTCTGTTGATGGAGTGTTTAGGCCTTTTCTCTATCATATCTTACAGACTGAAGAGCATTCCGCCACATTTAAGGCGATTCATTGGAGTGTCAACATTAATCTTCCCCCCGACATTAAATCCAATCATCTACGGACTGAAAACAAAAGAAATTCGTGAAAAAGTCATGATCACTTTTAAAAAAAAAATCTTTTTGCCTCAATGTACTGTCTCTTAACCTGCCTTTATGTTGTACGTCAGCACATTTGAATGTGTTATATCTTTTGATAAGTTTAAAATGCAGAAGTAAAAGTAAGTCACCCTTCTTATTTTGGAAATATGAGATCAGAATGGAAAAGATTCAGTTTGGTATTTGATGAAAACTAAGTCAATAAGTGTGTGTCTGTACTAAAGTTAAGGGTTTCCAGTAAAAAAGCCATTAAACAATATTGTACACTAGAGGGTGCAAACAGAACACAAATAACTCACTGAAAGCCAAACACCTTCCACTTCACCACAGACTGGAAACATGATTGGTGTGAGACCTGGCTGATTTTGGTCTGTGTGGTTTGCTGCCCTCTTGTGTTTAAAGTCTTTAACAAAGAAAAGCTCAGTCTGAAATAATGCATGCATTCAGAGGATAATGAAAATATATAATCCACATCTGATGGTTTTTAAATTATTTATTTATTTATTTATTTATTTATTTATTTATTTATTTATTTATTTATTTGGTTGTAACTATTAACTCTTAACATTAGGACAAAATAAATACAAAAACTTTTTTTTTTCAGTTTTTGGATTTGAAATCTTCTGTAAAACTTTCTAACTGCATCGTAATTGTTGATTGTAAAAGTAATTAGTGCAAAGTGGTTTTTTTGTGTGTGGTTTGTTATATTAATGTTGTCTTTTTTCTTGCTTTGTGCATCTTCATCGTTTTTTATTGTAATTTTAACATGCTGTAGAGTGAGTCTGATTTCTTCAAAAATATATTTTAGGGTCATGAGGTTATTGCATATGTTTGTCAAACTATGTATAATCACGTGTATTGTTGCAATGTTTGTTGTTTTGTGATGAATAAAACAAGTGAACATATGAATCATTAGTTTTAAATGCTTTGTTTGTCATTAGCTGTAGAGAAAGGTGAGAGTTGAATAAATATGAACTTCTTGTCAATGCAACAGTAAACAGCATGTCCAATATGTATACTATCAGAATAAATTTTCTACAAAGTTTATTTAAATTGCATAGTCAGTACTGTTTTAAATGTCAAACTGTATCTCAAATTTTATTATTAAAATTGTACAGACTTATTTATAGTATTTATTCATTTCGTTATAAAACAGAAAAGTAAACACATTGCATAAAACAAAATGATACAAATTAAATAAAATGTGAGGCACTTTATTGTTTACCAATAAACTAAATTGGTCAGAACATTTATTTATTTACAAAAGCTTTTAAAAAAGTTTTTCCCTGTTTTTACAAAATACATATGATTTTTGCAACTATGTTACACAGTATATCTT